ACCTCAACTCGTTTTTTAACAAACTTGGGATCACACATCATGTGTCTTGTCCTCATACACATCAACAGAATGGGACCGCTGAACGTAAGCATCGTCATCTTGTATAAACTGGTATTACTTTATTAGCTCATGCCTTCGTTCCCTTTAGGTTCTGGAGTGATGCTTTCTCCACTGCCTGTTTTTTGATCAATAGGCTGCCCTCACGACTTCTGAATATGAAAACTCCACTTTAACTCTTGCTCAACGAAACTCCAGATTACACCTTTCTCAAAGTCTTTGGGTGTGCTTGTTGGCCTCATTTACGTCCGTATAACAAACATAAGTTAGAGTTTTGGTCGAAAAAGTGTGTTTTTCTTGGGTATAGTTCCCTTCACAAAGGGTACAAATGCCTACATGTTCCCACCAATCGCGTCTACATCTCTCGTGATGTTGTGTTTGATGAGAATGTGTTCCCTTTTTGTGCACTTCCGAACAACTCTATCACTCCTCTACCGGACATTTCTTCTGCCACACCTTCGCCTGATCAATTTGTAGATGTTGCATATGCTCCTGTGTTGCTTCCTAACCATGCTGCAGGTGTTGGACGCGGTGCTCGTCTTGAGCTCCTTGAAGAACAGGCACCGACGGAAGCCCCGGACCTGGACGTCGGTCTTCTGCATGGGGCATGCATACCGGGCGGCGCCCATCGACCCGTGGAGGCTGCACCCGCAGCCATCTCGCGGGCATCGCCCTCGCCTCGGGTATCGCCTCCGCTCGCCTCACAGGTGTCGTTGCCCCCTCTCGCCTCGCAGGCGTCCCCCGACCCTGCCTCGGTGCTGGCATCTCCTGGGCCGGTCGCCTCCTCGCGTGGCCCAGGCGCCACCTCGTGGGTAGCGGGTCTGACTCCGGATGGGCCGGTCTCGCCGGGCCCAATGCCGCCTGGTTCTCCAGCACCAACAGGTTCTGGCGTGAGCTCGGGTGGCTTGGCCTCGCCTCTGTCTTCGTCCACGTCGGCTGGCTCGTCCTCGCCTCTGTCGCCCGAGTCAAGTCCTGTATTGCAGCCACCTGCTGCTGCTCCTCGAGCTCGCACACGCAGCCAGACAGGAGTGTTCCAGCCAAAGATACATACTGATGGGACTGTCGCGTGGCTCGCTGCTTGTATGGCTCATGCTGCTAAGGATCCTACTGCTGAGCCTCGCCACTTTCAGGCTGCCCTGAGCATTCCTCACTGGCGTGCTGCAATGGAACAGGAGTTTCAGGCATTGTTGAAGAATGACACGTGGCAGCTTGTTCCTCCTGTATCTGGGATCAACATCATTGATTCTAAATGGGTGTTTAAGGTCAAGAGAAATGCTGATGGCTCCATTGAACGCTACAAAGCAAGGCTAGTTGCCAGGGGTTTCAAACAGAGGTATGGTCTTGATTATGAAGACTCATTCAGTCTAGTTATCAAGCCCACTACTATTCGTTTGCTGCTGTCCCTTGGTGTCACTCGAGGATGGTTCCTTCGTCAACTTGATGTGCAGAATGCCTTCTTGCATGGAGTTCTAGAGGAGGAGGTTTATATGCGACAGCCGCAGGGTTTGTGGATCCTGAACGTCCTCACCATCTCTGTCGTCTTGTCAAGGCGCTATATGGGCTCAAACAGGCTCCCCGTGCATGGCATGCACGTCTTGGCTCTGTTCTGCAGGCACTTGGGTTTATTCCCTCCACTACTGACACATCACTGTTTCTTCTTCAGCGACCTGAGGTTACGATGTATTTGCTGGTCTATGTTGATGATATAATCCTCATCAGTTCCTCAGATGTTGCTGCAGATCGTCTTGTGGATGCTTTGAGTGGTGATTTTGCTGTCAAGGATCTAGGTGCTCTACACTTCTTCCTTGGACTGGAGGTTTCACGGTCTTCTGCTGGGTTAACTCTTACTCAGAAGAAGTATTCTCTTGATCTGTTGCGTCGTGCTGGTATGTTGAAGTGTAAACCTTCTAGTACTCCGATGTCTGCCACTGATCGGTTGTCTGCTCTTGATGGAGATCCTCTTTCACCTGATGATGCCACTAAGTACCGCAGTCTTGTTGGAGGTCTGCAGTATCTTACTATCACCAGACCAGATGTCTCGTATGCAGTCAACCGTGTCTGTCAGTTTCTTCATGCACCCAGGACATCTCATTGGTCAGCTGTGAAGCGTATCCTGCGTTATGTCTGTCTCACTGCTTCTCATGGTTTGCTCCTCCAACCTGCGCCATCTTCTGAGATCTCAGCCTTTTCGGATGCAGACT